ACATTAAGCAAGGTTTTTTTTCTTTCAATAAAAGTAATAAGTATTTTTTGAAATTAAATGCATCCTTCAGCTATTTATGGACATTTAATTCATACAGTAACCAATACCATAATTAAATTACAGAGATCGTACTGTTAACATTATTGCAAGAGTAATGTTGTTGCAGTTAGTAATTGTCATTTATTTATTTATTTATTTTATTAAGAAAGAAAAGATTCTTCCTTCATTTGGCCTTCAGAATTACAAATCGTGCAGTGCACTGTCGGAGATTCCGTTATAGGTCAGAGGTGAACAACACCCAAAATTGCTCTGTTTGCAAATTGCACACATTCTTATGTCGATAACTGTGCGCAACCTTTTCTTGCAATTCTCTCTTCATTTTAAATGAAGTCAATTCTGTCGTAAACTTGCGTTTTTCTTTTATTCTAATTTATTCGTTTCATACAATCGAAATATACAAATTTCGCATTCATAAAAAGATAACAATTAACTATTAAAGATAACTGAGCAATGAATATGTGATAAAGTCTGATAATAGTTATTCTTTTTCGTAATTACGTGTCTATCTATGTTTACCAGTAACTAATACTTGAATTCAGACTGAATTAATTTTACTTATTTGGCAATCGCTTCATTTTTTTACGTGTGTAAATCAGATTGATAATATTTACATGGGATTATCAATCAGTTAATATAGTTACTGGAGCATGTACCTGTCACAAAATGATGTGCCTAAAATACAACAATTTCAAACCTTGGAATGATTAGCCAATTATTATTCAAAGTTTAAGCAACTATAGACTGAATTAACTTAATTAGAAAAAATACAGCAAGTTAATTAAGCATGAACTCAATTTTGTTTGATGAAAAAACAATGGAATAAAGCGAAATAATTATGAGACAACTGGCTAGTAATTAAGTAATGTACAAATCCTAAAAAAGGAATCAGTTTTTATTCATAATACTTTAGAGGTAAAATGGCAATTTTGTCTTGCAACAAATATTTAAATTGAATAACTCTATTTTACTTAATCTATTTGATTAAGTAAAACAGAGTTATTCAATTAACTTACTAATTACTAATTAAATAGAGTTATTTAATTAACTTACTTTTCGATCCAAAATTTTGTGCTTTCTTGAAATACTAAAAAAATTACATATTTAGTATTTAAAAATAAGTTGTGCTAGTTCTGACGTTTTAAATTCTTTCAAAGTACAAAAATAAGAGAAACTTTTGGTTTTTCTTAACTATTTTACTTAAACATTAGTTATATCATTCAAAAAATTTTACTGTATAACTGTTTGAGACTTTCAATATTAATATGAATAGCGTCAAGATTTTAAATCTTA